TATTTTTTCTAATATTTTGTTAATAGTTTGAAGATCATTTGCTCTTTGTACATTTGCACTTTCTATATATTCCTAATACTTTGTTTATAGTTTCAATATAATTTGCACTTTGTTCATTTGCACTTTGTATCTCCAGCACTTGGAATTTGTTTCACTGTTTGTGTTTGTATTTAAATGTTCAAATGATAATATATTTCTCTGAAACAAGTTATTTTTGTTGCAATGTCATCTGTTATGGTTTAATTTTTTACTCTCTCAACCTTTTTTTGACAGAAGAAACATGATCAGTCATTTAAATATGGAAATACATTTAGTTTGAATTATTCCATATTATCCTAGGCGTTTTTCTTCCTTAATTCCTCTGTTCCTGGCGGAGTAAACAGTAAAACAAAACACAACATTTGTACTGGCGTTTTTGAAAAACTGTTAAATTCAGCCATTATCACACAAAGTTAAGGTCAAATTTGGACTTTAAATTAACCAGACTTGAACTAGAGGTTATCCTGAATCAAATGAGGTAAGGCACTTGATGCTGACTGCTAGAAAAGGTTAGAACAGGTTAGGAGAAACAAATAAATACTGGAGAGTCAGGCTGGCGAGAATTCCGTCTAGGTCTTTAAGGGTTAAGTGGCGGTCTGAGTTACTCGCAGCAATGCCGCCTCTCTTAATATAATGACTTTACTCAAAGATGACTGCAACCGCTGCAAATAGCCAGAAGGCTTCTCACCTGTGTTCTGGTTGTTATTGAGGAACTTAGCAAAAAGCTCGTCCCCGTCATCAACAGTGCCATACGCTGAGTCGGTTAGGCTAAGATAGTCACGGGAAGTAGAGCCAGGACCAAGATGTTTAACAATATTAGCAGCAGGTTGAAGAAGGCTGTCAACAATCTTTCTGACAGTATGTCCGTCAGACACAGCAGTATCTGTTAGGAGGAAATCAACATTGCCGCGCCATGTGTCATAATCAGATTCCATAGGTGGACAAGGAGTTCTTCCTGAAAATGGTCTGAGCTTGGCATGACCATGATACTGGGAAAACACATCACTGCTCTTAAATGACATGCTCGACCACCACCTTTTGGACTTCAGGAGTAGTGAGATGTTCAGAAGGTAAGAAGAACGTCTGTTTCCTAGGCGAGAATGACGCCTCTGCATTCCCAGTGAACGGAATGGAGTCACGACCATGAGAGTAGGTCAATGTTTCACTTTCAGTAGCTATTAGCTTAGCTTGGGCCGTGGTGCTAGTGGGCTGAGGTTCAAAGTTATCTACTGATACTACTGGCTCAGTTGTGCGTCTGCTTTTAGTAGACTTTTGAATAGAGATGTCCCGATCCGATCCCGTGATCGGGGATCGGAGCCGATCACGTGATTTTGAAAAGATCGGAATCGGGAGAAAAAAATCGGGGATCGGGATTTCTTTTTTTTTTTTAAATACTTTTTTATAAATGTTGTATTCAATGTTACAAAACAAAAATGACCATGTTCAAGTCTTAAAGTCATCCTGAGGCCTTAGTTTTGGTTTCAAATTACACAACATCATGTATGTGTTGCTTCTTTGGGGCTTGTTTTCATCGACCTGGTTGCTTATTTCTCTCAAATCTGGCAACAGAGTGGGCAGGGCGCAGTGTCTAATTGTAGCAGTAAGCTAACGAGTACTGATAAGCTTTATTTTGTTTTGATCCAATGCTGCACAACTGAACTGATCCAATGCTGCTGTGAAAAAAAGAAGCTATATCCATGTTGGATAGAATATCCAATTTAAATAAAAAAATAACCTTAAGGGACAACTTTAATGCTTTTTTTCTTTTTTTTCTCTTAATGCATTGCATAAAGATCGGATCGGGAAAAATCGGTATCAGCAAATTGTCAAAATCAAATGATCGGAATCGGATCGGGAGCAAAAAAAGGTGATCGGGACATCCCTAACGGATAGCAATGAATCTGGCTTCTAAATTACGTATCAATCAATGTGCAAACAATCTGCAGTTTAGGGTCATATATTAGGGCTGCAAGATATTGAAAAAAACTGACTATTGCATATATATTTTTCCCCCTGCGATATATATTGCTTNCACACTTTGTCCGTGTTTGGCTCTCTCGCCGCACAGTGAAGCGTTCCAGCATTGACGTCACTTCCGGCTTCCCCCAAAACTTCAAAATGAGTCGAAGGAATTTCCCCGTGATGTTCGAAATTATTGATATTTATCGGAACGGTATCGCACCTTCTTTTTTAAACTGACGGTTCGAGATGACTAGTAGCCCAATATTTCATTGCACAACAGTTGTTGGGAGGCTGTCACAGGCTCTTTAAACTGAAGTTGAGCTGTAGGTTTAAACGTTCTCTTCCCACCTAATGCTGGTGTGTCTTTGATTAATTGCGGCCTATTTGACATCAGGAGAGCAGAAAATAGCTGTCTCCTGTGAACCTGTGTAGTTAAAGGTATAAGAAGAAAAGACCAGGAAGTGTAGTATTTAATGATTTGTACTTTTTGCAATTTGTTAATGGTCAATCAGGAGGAATATAATTGGTTTCGGCTCTGCATGTTTTTAGCACAGGACCATGGCGTTTCCTGTTCATCAAAAATGAGAGGTCCCAGTGATCAGCTCTAAGCAAACACAACACAGCTCAGTCTATCTTTCAAAAGTGTTTCAAATGTAATAATTTCAAAGAAAGCAACCAAAGTTAAGATGAAGCACAGATGTATGATTTTCTACCCTATCTTTTTATGAAGAGATCTCTTATGAACAGGGTTGAAGGGTTACTTTAAAAATACATGTTACAATAACTACATACATGTAACCTAATCTGAGTATCAATAAAAGTGATGTAACCTGATTACTTTCCATTACTTTTGGATTACCTCAATATTAAATGCAATGCAAATAAATACAAGAGAAAATAAATATCTTTTTTTAATATAATTTAATTTTACAGGATGAGTAGGGTTATGATTAGATTACATTCAATATTTCAACATGACACCGAAAAAAAGAATTGTTCCAACAAATAGTTAAGTACAAAGAAGAAATACATCTGATCCTTTTACAAAAAACACTATACGCACAGATTTTTAGTAACATTGTAATCCTGCTAGTAATCCCCGATTTTAAAACTGTAGGGTTAGGGGTTAGTTAAAACAGTAATCTGATTACACCTGTTTTATGTTACTGTAAGGGAATACATTTAATTAGATTTCTAATCCTGATGACGTAATCCTATATGTACTCAGTTACTCCCCAAGCCTGTTTATGAACAGGAAGGAAAGAAACCTTTTCCAGTGTTCATTCACTGGAGTTTCAAAAGACAATTAAACATGTGGTTTCACCAGTATTGGGCAAGTTACTTTAAAAAAGTAACTAGTAATAGTTATAGTTACTGCTCTCAAAAAAGTAACTAGTTACTTTATTAGTTACTAGTTACTTTTATAATTTAGTAACTAATAAAGTAACTAGTTACTTTTTTGAGAGCAGTAACTATAACTATTACTAGTTACTTTTTTAAAGTAACTTGCCCAATACTGGTGAAACCACATGTTTNTACGAGAGACAGAACGAGAGCAAGACAGACAGACATTACGAGAGCGAGACAGTTTGTCCCCGTACCACTGGTTGAAAATCACTGCTGTAGATCACTGCCGGTACGTGCGCTGGGAGCGCACCGTTTAAGTTTGAAAGTTGAAAAGTTTGTGTGTCTGAAACGCTATGTGATACAGTACAGTTTACACAGCACAGTACATGTTCTGTAGCTACTATTGCACTAAATGGTAACACTTGAATACGTTATGCAAATATGCAACTTGTTTGTTGAAATGTTAATAAATGGGAGCTTCCTCAAACAGCCATCTCTTTCCCGACAATCCCCTCTGTGCACGAACCCTTACATATGGTAATTAAACATTAAAACACCTGCGGCTTATAGTCCAGTGCGGCTTATATATGTACACATCATTCAATTTAGCTGCTGCGGCTTATATTCCGGTGCGCCTTATAGTCCGAAAATTAAGGTAGTTTACAGAGTCAAATCCACATATTGGGGATGGGCGTAAATATCTGCAGACACAGGAGATGTCTCTCACATCTGTGGAGCTTAGAAAGCCAGCGTTCTCACAGTCGTAAAAGCCCCCTGTGCCCACCAGGTCAGGCCATAAAACCTAGTATCAACATACGACTGGATTAACACATTCCTTACGGGAGATTAGAAGCAGGGATGGTCGTAAATGTCAACATACAGAATAAGGTTAAATATCTTAGGAGTAAGGAAGAATTATTCCCTTACATAAAGGATGGTGAATGCATTTAAGACCGTAGCGGAGAGCACCTGAGCCAATCATTCATTATCGTAGAAACAGCTTCAATGCTTCTTCCAGTATGATAAAGAGGCTTTGTGGCCAATAAACCTTGTATAATGAAGGTTAACCTGGACTAATCGTAAATACTAATTCATTGCATACTTTAAAAAATATGGCAACCCTGGTTTGCGTGAAAATGGACGGAAGGAAAACATCAAGCATTGACATTTCAAAATATGAGATATTCAGAACAGCCATTGATTGACTGTCTCTAACAGCTATCCAGTGATTGCTGTCTGACCTTTTCGAGCGCATCGTCCAGCGATGCAGGGAAGCTTTAATGGAACCGCAATAAATCCCATCCCTGAGATTTCTATCTATAAGCTCCTCAGAGAGATGAGAGCAGAGGTAATCAATGTCTCTTGTCAAATAACTGAAAAGTGTACGTCTTTATTGTGCTCCTATGGAAGTATTACCAGGAAATCCTTTTTTGGTGAGAATGTGTGTGCATTAATACAGCAGGCCATCTGGGTAAACTAGAGAAAGTTAATTTAATTAGTGCGCTGTTGTTGTTCATTTATTGACTATCTAAATGTCATCAGAAAACCTCCAGTAGGAAGCCTGTTTTAGTCCTGGACAAGTAAAGGAGATTTGAATTTGTTCTGAATCTGAGCCCCAAACATCCAAAGAGATTTAGAGCATCCTTGTTAAGTGTTTTATGAGTATAGCTGTTAGAAGCTGGATCTGTAGATATGTAGGTCTTTATGCTGTGGTTTCGATCAGTGTACTGAAGAGCTGTCAGCCTTTCTCAAATAAATCAGGTGTCCGCAAGGCTGCCTGTCAAAAAATGTCAGCAGCTTGTGAAGAATAGAGGGAGAGAGACTGAGAGGGCAGTTTCCTCAAGATGAACTCAGGTGAAAAGGGAGAAATGAAGGTAGAAATGAGAAGATTATCTGTAGCAGGGCTGTCCACACTACGGCCCGGGGGCCAAAAGCGGCCCGCGGACCATTTTGAATCGACCCTCAGCAAATAAAAAAAGTATAATGAAATATGGCCCACAAATGTAACATCTGCTATTGTACTTCTTAAATATATATGTTCAGATATATAACACAGTATTCATGTGCCCAATTTCAGTCAATTAAAGTTGAAAACATTTTCTAACAAATCTCAGTTGATAAGAAAAAAGCCCAATAACACATTTACGTAACAACATTGAAATATACCCTTCTGTTTCCTCTTATTATGAGCATTCTGAGCCTCCTGTTTTAAGGAATGAGCTGCCAATACAATACATGAAACCCTACGGAGAGCTGTGTGTGTATTTCATCAATATCAACCATAATTGACCTACATTTGATAGATTTTTCTAACTTATGAGGCAATAAACCTCGAGTGAGCGGTGTTTGTTTGGACACCCCTGGTCTATAGTAATGTTAGAGGAACATTTTTCATCTTACCGGAAAACAATTCTGTTGGATTGATTAATAATGGAGCGTACTAAAGTCACAAGCAGTAGGGCAAAGGTTAGATCTAGGGTTATGCTTTACCAAAAAACAATACCAGTCGATCGATTCAAATCGGAGCAGCAGCCATGCTTTTCTTAGTTTTTGCTCATTAGTTNATATGTTACATTGATTTGTTATTGGCTATAGTAGGTTATTGGTTATGTTCACATACTTATTTGATTATTAAAATGTAAACCAATCTTTTTCATATGGGTGTTTAAATGTGTATCCCCTAGATCAGGGGTATTCAACTAAAATTCAACGAGGTCCAGTTAGAGAAAATCTCCCCATGCAAAGGTCCGGAGCTTCAATATGTCTAATATTGAAATAGCCTATAGCTTTATCAACGTCTGCATGTAATCAACAGCTGACTGCCAATCAAAGAAAGAAAGTACAATTCATAAACAACAATATTTATATATATTTTGTCAATTAACATTGAACTATACAGATTGTGAGGGAATAATTCTGTCTTTACTCCTAAATATTTAACCTTTCTGTGTGTTGACGTTTACGACCAACCCTAAGTCTGTTATCTGTCTTAAGGAATGGGAAGTCTCAGCTATTGTTGATAATCAACAATAGCTGAGACTTCCCATTCCTTAAGACAGATAACAGACTTAGGGTTGGTCGTAAACGTCAACACACAGAAAGGTTAAATATTTAGGAGTAANTTCCAAAATCCGACACTGAGGTGGTCTTAACGCACAGGCAGATGACAGCGCTGACAAAGTGTGTTTCGCTACAATACTAATTGTGGGCTCATCATGTTGATTCGGCCACAACAGAAAAAATAAAAACAAACTCTCGCTCTCTCCAGAGGGGCAGGTCAGCCTAAAAGGCCAAACGGGCCGTTGCCCGGGCAACATTAGCCCGTACCTGTGCACGTCCCTGCTCTTGGTAATGTTTGACCAAATGCATGATTTAAGAAGAGTCCTATCCATGTTACTTTAGTTGGCTAGTTTTGCAAAATACTTGGGATCATTTGTTTAGTCATTTTTATAACTTGTGCAATAATGTTTAAAAGTATCATCGCATTACTTTCTGGAGAGTTACGGTCTTGTGTGAACTTGTGCCATTGAAGTCACTTCAGGCAGTATCCTTTACTTATCTTATTTTAATATTATAAAATACAATTCAGAACTGAAAATAAAAGCCCAGTCACAATGTCTAATGAGATGCACTGATAGATCTACACCAGTAGTCATCTTTCATGGTAACAATGTCCTCACTCTCCTTCAAGGTGATCTAGATAAAAAACATCACTTTGATCAGCATCACCTCACAAAGACACTCTGTGCATTATAATGGCACCAAGCCAGACCCACAGTGCCTCTGTTATGCAGACTGCAGAAGGACGTGGCTGCAGACGCTTTAATAAGGTGTTACATAAAATGTGGGAATTTTGGGAGGCGTGTGGCGCAGTGGATAGAGCCTTGGTGTTGTGATCAGGGGTCACAGGTTCAAACCCCACTGCAGTCAGCATGTCGTTGTGTCCCTGAGACACTTCACCCCAAAGTGCTCCTGTGCGGATTTTCCACAGTATTGAGTATGTAAGTCACTTTGGATAAAAGCGTCTAACAAGTAACATGTATTATGTGTTTGTGACCTTCAGTAAGCTGCCTGTTACAAGCTTTCTCATTTGACTGAACTTTTGTGTTTCTGTGCTTTTTCTCTCCACAGATACACAAAGATGAAGACAGCTACCAACATCTACATCTTTAACCTGGCTCTGGCTGACTCTTTGTTCCTGGCGACTTTACCTTTCCAGGTACTACCTATTCCACCTTTTCCTTAAACTACTCTTTTTGCCCACTCTTAAGATGAACTTAAATTAAAACAAAACTATAAATGAATGTTAGTTGGTAACAGATACTATACATTATAAGATTTTAGGCGGCAGTAATAGGCACTTGGCTTGGGTACCGAAGTATTGCCGGTTCAAGCCCTGATTGGACCTAAAATAGTGTTGACTGGTAGCTGTAGAGGTGCCAGTTTGCCTCCTGGACATTGCCGGTTGTCCCTTTTGCTCTGCGAACCTCTTCCTTTGTGCATGTTTATAGGTCTAAGTTGTGCATGTGTGTAATTTGGGCCTATGTGTGTAATTATAAAATGACACCAGAGTGAAAAGTGGAATTTCCCCCTAGGGTATTAATAAAGGTGATCTTTGAAAATGTTGGTCTTAGAAATATGATGTGTAAACTTCCAGATGTGGTTTACCGATCATATCAGGCATTACTCTGCCTTAAAAACCAAAGGGGCTGTTGTGTTTAAAGATAGAAAGTTCAAACGAATGTCAACAAACACCATCACAGCCTAACCATTAATTAAGTTGTACAATTAGCATTCTGCTCATGTGTTATGCTGCTGCTGGTTCAATTAGTTTGACAAGATTACAAGTGACATCAATATTTTTCGCTTTGGTAATGGCATCTTTTTCAAAGCCTTGTTTCTTTTTCCTTCAGCATGGCTTCCTAGTAACTCTATTTGATATCACTAAAAAGTACCCTTGTTCTGGTACCACAATGGGGTCAGGATTTATTGATGATTGATGAATTAGTGAACAAGATTATAAACAATGCAGATAAGCATTAAAACATGATTGAATTATTGAAAAGGCAGCATTAACTAGTGAGTGATTGTACTGGATTTTACAAAAAATGTAGCTTGTGTCCACCCCTAGTTTCTACTCAGACATGAACTCTGACTGATATATTACTTAAAATACAATTTCGATTTTGCTGTTTCACCAGCATCAGGGTTTGTATATGTGTATTCCACTTCATAGATAATTAAGTGTCAAAAGTTATATAACAGAGGAGATTGTACTCTCTGTTCTGCTTGCAGCTGTATTTATATGCTCAAACTTTGATTTCTGGATGTTTGTTTTAGGGCACAGACGTGTTCCTGGGCTTCTGGCCGTTTGGGAACGCTCTGTGCAAAGTGGTGGTGTCTATCGACTACTACAACATGTTCACCAGCACCTTCACCCTGACGGTGATGAGTATGGACAGATATGTGGCTGTCTGCCACCCTGTCAAGGCGCTGGACATGAGGACTCCTCACAAGGCCAAGGTAAAACTGTTTCATTTCAAAGTGAGATATTTACCTCTTTAAATCCTTCACACCTTCTGTATTGTCCCTGCAATGGCCGACATCAGATCAGACACTTCAGCCCATGAATCCTTGCTGTCATGTTGGGAAACTCAACAGAAATAAAGATAAACTGATACAGGCATCATTTTCAGATTTGTATACTAAACAAGTGGATGTGGCTGCAGTTGTTTGGAAACAAGAAACCATTTTAAAATTGCGATGGAATGATAATTGAAATGAAAAACAGATTTGTTTGATAATGTCGTAGCCAAGCTGCCTGTTTAAAAAAAAAAGTGTTTTATGTGCTTTTGCAGTCTTTACATTTAGTCCTTACAAAAAAGCCGAGAGTAAATAAAGCAAGAGGTTTAATAATCATATAACTCAGATTACCTAATGCAATTACTGCACAGCTGTTGATGTGTCTGCAGCTGTGCACTAACTGTGGTAAATAAGAAATGCAGAACTCGTATTGCAGTGTGTTACATAATGTTTGTGGCCTGTTTATATATTTATATGCTGGTATGAACTTTAATTCCCGTGGTAACCTCTAGATATACGGGTGTAAGAAAAGAAAAAAGTGTAATCCATTAGACCAATTTCTCCAACCGACGTTGACGAGTAAACCTTTTGTCCTGTAATGACACCCTGAGAAAACAGACCTTTTCAAGTGCTGATAAGAAATGTCAAAATGAAGAAACACTGATTCAAACAGAAGATGATTTTCAGGATTCTCACAGCTCGTCTGCACAATCCTTCTCATCAGAGTCATTGATGATGTTCAAAACATAAAGAGATAACACCACTTAACTTCGAACCAAATTGATTTTACACATCAAAGTCTGTTGGGGATTACAACTGCACATTTGAACACAGTTTAAAGTCATTTTGTGACTTCAAACTTATAGTGCAATGCTAACTAATTGCTTCAAGTGGTGTCACTTGCTATGATATAATCAATACCCTACACAGTAATGCATTCAAGGAAAATCTTAGCTCACATGCTCCTCCAACAGTGCAACACAATACAACTGATACAATTGTGCAAGTAAATACACCAGTTGCAGTTGGTGTGAATGGTGGGTAATGTGTGGCCCGTTTTTGTTTTTGTTAAGTCCAACAATGTTATAGATGCACAGTGCTTGATTGATTTAGTTATAGAGTCCTAGTATTGTAGTGTATTTGGGGTTCTGGTCCTGGTTTCCTACAACACCTTTTGAGGAAAGGTATAAATTGTTCAAGTTCTAACTTAGATTGTTCTGCTAGTCCTGATATGCATTTGAACAGTGATGTCATTGCTGAACAAGGTAAGATAATTGAAACTACTACTTGTCAAATGGTAATGCATCAAGTAAACACAGGTATTGTTATTGTAAGTAGTAGTGACTTGTTCTGTGGAATACTGGGCATGCAATGGGACAGACTCGCTGCCCTCAGAGTGCTTGTTATTAGCTCTTTTTATTCTTACACATTCAAATAGAGGTTTTAAGCTTGAAGATTAAAGGGTTGAATGATACGTTAACTTTTTCTTTTCTGTATGAGTAATTGGAAATCTATAATTGACCATCATGTTATCATGTCTTTAGGTGGTGAATATCTGTGTGTGGGTGTTGGCCTCAGCCTTTGGTGTTCCAGCCATGTTCCTGGGAAATGTTGAGGTGGAACAAGAGCATGGCAGTAAGTAATTGACAAGCACACGCATGCACACGCACACACACACACACACACAAGCACGCACGCACGCACGCACGCACACACACACACACACACACACACAAACACACACACACGTTGCTTTTCGGCACCTGCTTTTTATGTCCCCAAAGAGTCCGAGGTCCCCATGACGTGATTGTGTAAACAGACTGATGCCCGCAAATAGTGATGAAAACAAACTTAAATAAACACACACACACACACACGTGCTTGTGATGACCTCTGCGTGTACAAATTCTTGCACCTTCACCACAAATACATTTGAAACGAGCTGTCCCAGTTTTTATCGCTTCTCTTGCACAGCGTCTGACTAATAGCTTCAGCACACATCATCGCGTGATGCCTCTTCTTCTCTTTGTTTCCTATCAAACAAATACAGAGCTTTGACAGCCGGCTGCCTGTGCCATTATACAATACTCCACATGGTGCTCCGTGTTATGAACTTTCACACAGCAGGTGCATATTTATATATCTACCAAAATAGAAAGAACATTCAGCTCGTGATCCATTTCTTTTTTTGCAGTTCAATCAGCAGAGGTGATAAAAAAAACAACAGCATGAGTCACTGTGTTGTGATTATCAAAAGCTAAATTACTTTCAGTAAGTACAAAGGAAGATGTGTTACAACCTGTCGCACAAATTCCACGTGAATGAATGTGGCATAAACACACATGAATTGCGAGCACCGGCATTTACATAAAATAAATAGGCATGACTGAGATCAACTGAATCAGGAAAACACATGTAAATTCAATTAGCAGAAGCTCATAATTAAAGCATATTTGCAATCATTATTTTACATTGTATAACTAACACTTGTCATTCAATTGAAAAATACTTAAAGGTGGGTTAGGACATTTTGGAGAAACCGGCGCGAGTGCGCTAGGATTTGAAAATACACAGCTGGAAAAAATCTGCCACTTCCTTACAGAGCCCCTCCTCCAACACACACGAACGCACACATGACCAATGAGGGCACGAGATAAGTTTGTGCACAGATGGAAGGCTGACAGGCAGGTAGGCCATCCAGTTACTTTAGCCGGGCCGGCTCAGATGATTGGTCGTGCTTTTTACAGCGTCACGGCTTCCACAGATTACATGTTTTTATGTATTTTTTGTCAAAGCACTTCAGATATTCATTGCTATCGGGATGTTAAGAGCATTCCATGGAATATAACAAAAAGTGTATCTCGAGCCGGTTTCTCAAACGTACCTACCCCACCTTTAACAAAACAAACATTTACTATGACCATAACAAATAATAAAATAAATGTTTACGTTTCTGTTCAGACGTCAAACTTACCAAACACAACCTCATTGCATTGGTTCTGCATTTAAAGAGAATGGGATCCAAAAAAAGTTAGAAGTAACGTATATCATTATTTATTCCCTTTAATGTGCCTTTATTGTTGTTTTGGTTCTGTATATTGGCTTGTTGTTCAAAAAGGAGCTTGTACCACCTCGATTTGGAAATCTAACGCACACTCAATGTAATCAACAGTCTCCAAAGTTTCATAAATACATCTGGCGGGGCTCCCTTGTAAGATGCACAGCTGAATTCCATTTCCTGTAAAGAGATCTCAGTCCATCAGGTGCTCACCCTCTCCCTGCAGGTTCACCTCTTGTGTGTTGCCCATCTCCTACTACATGCGTGATTTGATTAAACCAAGGTTCATTTCATCTTCCACCATCACTGTTTTATTAAAAGTTTGCATTTGTGAGACAGTTTATCTTGTGTTTGGAATAACTGCTCTTGCAGCAAATTGCAATGCCTGACTTCAGTTTTCATCATCATTCCTGGTTGCAATTTTCCATTAGTGTGTGAAGCCTGTATGAAAACTGCATCATTATATTTCTCTCTATGGCAGGCTCGTTCATCTTCTTGTCACTTAGGTTTGTTAAGGGGTGAGGAACACAACCTCAAAAGTGGAATAAGAGCACGAACATGTGGGAAGAATTCCAACTGAGTTTAAAGGAGGGTTTGGGATTAGGGTTAGGGTTATTACAAATAATTGTCTAACAAGCTCTTTACTACATGCAGCTTCTTACATAGTGTGCTTATGGTTTTGTAAGTTTCACTGTTACAACAACAATGTTCTAAATTTTTTTTAAATGCTTCTCAAAACGAGACATGTCTGAATTAATTGCTTTTAGATAAGCGTATAAGCTTCAACAGCACAAGGTCCATTTCAGTCAGACAACTCACGTGTTCTTAATATGTGTATTAGAGAAGCATATAGTTGAATTTGGCGTCTAGGCTCGGACCTCATCACTCCACATATTTACAAAGAACATTGAGTGATGATTAGATCATAGGCGGAGTTTGACATTTGCGCTTGGGGGGGCAAACCTTTTTTACTGACGTCAGTACACAGTCCCAACTATTGCGTGGGGTGCTACGGATACAGTAGCAATAAAGCCAACGCTCACCGCGCTGAGTATGACTTTTCCATGCCCGCCGTACACACACACTCATATGGAAGGGGCGGTCTCTCCCCCCAACAACAGTGCATTACATAACTGTAAAACATAACTCTGCACATCTTATACTTATTTGATAACTACTATATCCCTTGGTTACTTCAACACGCTACAATATTATTAACCAGTGTCCTACATTATTCAAATATTGATATACGAAATATTTGCATTGGAACAGTTTTCAACGTAGTAATGCTGTAACATATTTCAGCCACTAGGGGGGGCAATGCTCCCCCTGCCCCCCCCCCGAAAAAATCCGCCTATGGATTAGATACTGTAACTATCCCCCGAGCCTACAGGTGGAAGCTGGAGTGGTGGTGGGGCAGGCAATGTGACAGAGCCGCAGCATTAGCGAGGCAGAGGCAGGCAGATCAGCTTAAATAGAGCGGCAAGTTAAGGAGATTGTGTTTGGTTGGTTGTAAGAGAGACGCGTCACGTGTTAATGTATCATTGGTGCTCGAGTTGACTGCCTGAACTAGCTCGCAGGCTTCGCTCCATATAGGAAAATAAATAAATGCACATCCTGTTTTCCTTCTAAAACAACAGAATACATATATAAAAAAAAAAGTCAGCTGAGCAAACTGTGAATTAAGTTGTTGAAATTCTTCAGCATGGGTCATATGAGGAAGCAATTTTGCTTAATCACAGTAATAATCAGAAAGCACTCCCTCACCATATTTTCAGCTCTCTTTTATGTTCATCGAGCAATATGAGCAACCTTAATTTCTAGTCACTTTATTCATGAGCACTGTCAGGCATCATAAAAGAGGCAGCACATATTCTCTATCTAATCAATTATGAAATTATTGAGGAGATATGTTAGGGGATTCACAGTGGAAGGAGAGGCTAAGTGTCCCTTGCATTTGTCAGATATAGATTAAGGCTTCAAAGGCAACATTTGTTTGAAAGGGGAGCTATTCTGCTCACATTCAGGTTCATAATTGTATTTTGTGTCTCTGCTGTGACATGTCTCCATGCTTTAATGGTCAAAAAGCCCTTTATTGTTCTCATACTGCCTCTTTTCACCCTCTGTCTGAAACCAGAGCCCAGTCCGCTCTGATTGGTTAGCTGGCCGGCTCTGTTGTGATTGGTAAACTGCTTAGAGATATCCCGCCCCCGTACACTCCAATGAGTCCAATGAAGTAGGGCTGCTCGATTATGGCAGAAATCATAATCTCGATTATTTGGGTCAATAATTGATATCACGATTATTAAAAACCATTATCCATTTACTTTGAAAACATCACATTTTTGGAGAAAAACTATTTGAACAGTATGTTTTTAACAGTTGATTACCCTGAACTTTAAGTATAATTCAAGTGAAAAACTAATAAAAAAGAAAAAAATTAATAATAATAATACAAAAATAATCGTTATATTTCGATTAGGTTGTTTTCGTAATCGTTGTAAGCCATAATTGTAATTGCGATTGAAATAAGATTAATTGAGCAGCCCTACAATGAAGGCGTTTCACGTTACACTTACGTTTGGATAAAGAGCCATTACTTTAACAAAGACATAACACCAGCATTATTACATTTCAAATATGTGAAAAAGTCTACAATTATGTTTGAACTTATGCAAAAAGGTTGCAACTTCCTGGAGGACTCAAACCAAATACTGAAATCTATAAAACGGATGTAAATGTCGGGAGGTTTGACCCCTCTTCACAGACACCCTTTGTTCATCTGAGTCTTTTCAATACCTGATAACACCGGATGGATAACGGCAGCTTCTTTCTCAGTTCGAAATAGAGTCATTTAATTTCTGCTTATCAGTTTCTGCTGAGTGGATCCAGCTGGGTCCGTCGTCTCTACACACACTACAATGTGTGCGTGTCTGTTTGTGTGTTTCAAGGCAGTGCATTTGCCTTATAGGGTTGTGTGAGAGTGATAGTGTGTGTGTGTGTGTGTGTGTGTGTGTGTGTGTGTGTGTGTGTGTGTGTGTGTGTGTGTGTGTGTGTGTGTGTGTGTGTGTGTGTGTGTGTGTGTGTGTGTGTGTTAAACATTCTAGCAGCCTTGGATAGCATGACACACTTGCTGTTGGAGTTTACAGCTCGCAGATGGCAGCTATTTCCTAAAAAGGCCAAAACATTTAAAGAATTTTGTTCAGTTTCTACGGTAACAGGTGCACATAGACTTTCATATGATCTCAATGGGGAAGTATACATATTTCTACAAAAGCAAAGCATCAAGTGAGCATCACATGTCATCAGTAGTCAAACAGGGTTGTAAATGTATACGAGTAAATATTTCTTCATCAGCGTCTGGCTAATAAAACTACAGTTTTTGGCTTCTTTTCTGTTTTGGAACAAAATAAATCCCACACACTGCAGTTTTAACACACTGCCTGTTTAGCTCACTTACTCATTTGGGTTATGACAAAGTGATCTTTCAATTTATGGCTTGTTTAGCAAGTTGGAAAGAAGAGGAAAGTGTCCTGCTCTAATTTATAATACTGTTGTTGTAATTTGCTTCTTAGTCCCTCCCAT